TGACAACAGTTAATGGTGCAAAGCCTGGATGTGATTCTGTTATGTGAATGGTAACATTTACTGCATCAGCAACTGCTTGGACAATAAGTGCATCAGCCCATGTACCATGTACATATTATGCAAATATCTAAGCCAAGAACTTTGAGTGTTACTTTCAATATATCTTTCTGGATGATCTGTCATATATTGTACTCCAACAGCACGAATATTCATATGATAGTTGCAATTTCCATATAATTGATGTGATACTGATCTAAAAAAACAATCACCTGCACCACCAACATCCATTGATTGCAAACCAAGTTCAGCTAATCTAGATTGCATTAAAATTATTGAGGGAATTTGAGAAACAAGTTGCAATGCATTACCCTGTGTAGGTCCTGGGTTTTGTTCAATATCTCCTGACATCAGTATTAGTCTCTTCGAAGTAGAATCTCACATTGATCCTTCCATTTTACCCAATACAAACTATTCAATATGACATGCATTTGTTTATAGTTAGATTTCCAGAAAAAGAAACTTTGTTAATTAAGACATTTTCAAGACCATTAGGGCCAGGATTTGTTTCTACATCCCTACAAAGGCAGTAATAGCAATATGTTACCCTGTGATTCAGACCTTTATACTCATCATTGAATAGATCATGTGAAGTACAAGATGAATTATTTGACAAATTATAATGACAGTTGTTATTTACTGTTTTATGAAGCTTTGTATAGATGTGTTTGATTTTTCTGTCTTTTCTGTCCCTTGTTTTACAAAGGCATCTGTTATCTTCATCAACATGTAGCTTTTTATCACAATTGCATAAACTGAAGTGATGAATTTTTGATGACTTTGGTATGGTTTGAACAATTTTTTTCCTTTAAAGCCCTCCTTTTAGTTCTACTTTTATTGAAGGCACGTGTAAGCTCTTGTAACTCGATGACATTTGAAAACAAAGTTGTGGTTATAATACAAACTAACAAAATTTTGATAACGAGATCTGCAGTCTTTCAGTGGTATTAATTTATGCTGTATTTTTTTCAGTATTTCTCACATATAATTCTATAGCATCTGAAAAACACTCATCAAAACAAAGATTTGAATATGTTTCAAAGTATGTGTTGATCAATTTGTAAATAACAATAAAAATGCACAATATTAAGCGTAAAACAAACAAGGTCAAGGAATAAATATTGAAGTTATGCTTTATTCTTGGAAATATTTTGCTGAAATTTGGTACAAAGCTGTTGAGAACAGAAATACAACAAAGTGTAAATAATAAAAGCAAGGTCAATTATCATATTCACGTTTAGATGTCTCAAGTAACGGAGAGTAGTATTTTCTTTTCCAAGTTCAGTGGAATTAAACATGATATTTTGTTCTGCAGTTCCATGGTTTTCATTACAATGATTATAAGAATAAGTTGAGTTTGATTCGTTTTTGCTGCCGTTCAAGCTCCTTCACGAATACAAGAAGGGTTTTCGACCATATATACTTTGCTGGTCTGGTCGTTTTTCGTAGCCGTTGC